AACTTCGACAACCGGCTCAATTAAAATCCTAAATATCCAAACATTTCCCATTAATAATATCTTTTTAAAAATACCCTTGGTCAAAATTGGTCAACGGTCAAAAGTCAAGTCAACACCTAGCCGAGTCAACCCAGCCGAGTACACTGGGTGTACTCCAAAGTTCCACGTCCAAAGTCAGATCCAAGTCTCAAATAACGTTTTTGACCATAAAGTTTCCAACTTTATGGTCTTGCATGGCCAATAAGGTCTTAACATCAAAAACCTCAACCACCTAACCCATTAAGACCTCAAAACACATGCATGGAAAGAAAGGTGTGACATCCCCAAATTCACGGTCATTTTAAAAAATTTATTTATGCTTATTTTAAAATCAGAGTATCATTTTTTTAAGAATAATATTGCGGAATTTGTTCCCAGAAAACATGATAATGATATTATCAAAGAATTTCCGAAGAAATGCATTTTTGTTTATATTAAAACATTGGGATGTCATCGTCAATACAAAAACATAAGCATAAACATACCTTACATTCATTTACACTAATGATTTACATCTCCGTTAATCTCTCAGTGTAATGTAGCTTCGTATCGACACCTGTGATACAAATAAACTGAGTGGTCAGGTTGGGAAACCTGGTGAGTACATAGGGTTTTCAACCCACAATAATATAGTTAATTTGTTTCTTCACATACTTCATGTAAAATAATTAACCTGATTACCCATCCCCATTATCTTTATTTATTCTTCCCTGAAGATTTACCCTAAGGGTCATCTCCTACATCGTATTTACCTCTCATCGCATTTCCTTATATGTTTTTTCCTAAGGACTTTTCCTAAGGATCATCGCATACATCGCATAGACATTATTGATTCGGGGATTGCTCCTACAATACGTGTCCAGTAAGGGTTAGATTATCATCGCATGAATACGTAGTTACTACATCGCCTGAACTCGAAATTCATCACCTACAGGTTATGAGCCTGCCGGTGTTTCCACATGACTTGTTAGATTAGTCAGTGGTCACCATCTATACTCTGGTATATGACTACATCGCAACATTGCAGGTTAAGGTTATGGCATTTCATACTAATCTTTTTATCTCACCTCAATTACTCATCATCGCATATCTATCATCACCTTTCTATCATCACCTATCTCTCATCACCCGTCTACTCATCGTTACCCAATATATTTATAGGTATAAAAATACATATACAATTTAAATATCATAAAACATGTACAAATCGTTCATCTAACATAGATATCAGGAACACAGATAATAAGCACATATAACATGTATTAATATTGAATAATTCATATCAATGTGTAAGATGAAAGTAACTATGCACTCACTTGTTAAAGTGATGACTCCAAACTCGGGCAGTGCTTCGCTTCTAACAATTTTATTTTCCTTCGACGAAACCTAGTATCATTATCACTAGATTTTAGTCTAATATTTATTGCGACTAATTATTAGTCTAGATTTATTATTAACTCAAGGTCTACGAGCAATATTGTTTTTCTTGTATTATAAAAGTGTTAAACAATACTTTTTAACTACTATGTACAGACATGGGCCACACATGAAACACCGGAGGGCAGAACCATTTTGGCATTTAAGTTGTTCTGAAATCCAACAACCCTATGCGGACCTTCAAACCAGATTCCTCGTACCGTAATCAGTTAAAAGGTATTATAATAACACTTTGTATAATTTATAATACTTAGCACATATATTGTTTATAGGTTCATAATAACGATAATGAACTTGAACATAAGTTCTACTTAAAGTAGGATAAGCATAACTTACTTACAAGGGGATTTTAGCTAGAGTCGGGCTCTACAGGGGCAGAACTTCGTATCTGAATCTTTCTAAAAGATTCTTGTAGCGCTTCAGCGCTCACCTTACTATACTAAAACTACATAAAGATAAGTCGAATCACGAGAGACCGAAATGCTCGGGGGCTAAGAAGAGAAAGACTCTTGAATCAAGAGAATGGTGCAAGAAATATGAAATCCTAGAACCTCTTATTTATAGTAATTGAATTTTCAAAAAAACCACCCTCTATAGTTACTTAAATGACTAAACACCCCTTTATAATACTATTTTAAATAGATTTAATGATATTTGTACTAAACTAATGTCAAAAGTACTCAACACTAGTCTTATACGACCTCATCGTCGATACATTTCTAATGATATATACATATGTGTATATATATATATATATATATATATATATATATATATATATATGTACATATATATGATTTATACTTTATTTTAATATGTAAATATGCTTTATAAATTATAACTCGTTCATACGAACTCCGTCGGCTGATTTTGATTTTATTTTTCGTCCATATTTTTATAAAATTAAATGATTTTGCTAAAATCACAACTCTCTAGTACGGACTCCGTTTTTGGCATTCTTTTTCTCAAAATACTTATTTTAAAGAGTACTACGATTTTCTTTTTGGTGACTTTAGCTAAAAGTCAATCATTCTCTTCGTAGCTTTTTACTTCATACATTCGTTGTGCGCGGCTGACTTTTATATCTTATAAAAATCATATATATATATATATATATATATATATATGTGTGTGTGTGTGTGTGTGTGTGTGTGTTTGCGCACTTATTTTTACGATTTACGGACGATTCGAGTGATTTTTCATATTTTATTATATTATAATAATCATGAAACACATAACATTCACATAATTCTTCTTTATTAAATCAAATAGGTTATAATTGTTGACCATAACTATTACTTTGATTAAGGTTATTTATCCGAGATAATCTTTTATAATAATAAAAAAAATCATTTTTAACGCTTATTATATCTTAATTGAGTAGTCCGAATTTGCGGATGTTACAAAAGGTACGACCAAGACTTCACTTTTATGCTTTTAGACACCTCAAAGTGACTGAAAGGATAACTTAAATGAATTGGGGTAGCTTATGCTCAAAATACCCAAATGATGGGACCAAAAGGACACAAATTCAATGACTAACTTAGATCTATGCATAGAATCATCAAGTTCGTAACTTTATACCTCAAAATGGATCTTGAAGGTGAAGTGTTCCTGGATCTAAAAGGTCTTGATCTTCTAAGATGATGCTTCTTTCTTCACTTAGCTTCAAAGGCACCACAAACACACACTTTTGAGCTTAAAGGATCACACACAACGGTTTAGGGTTGCAAATGACGAAATGAAGGTTGGAGGCTGGATAGGGAATGAGGAAGGAGAGATAATGATGCTTATATATGAGCAAAACCCTAAAATTAGGGTTTGGAGTTTCTCCACTTACGCCATGCGTACGCGGTGTACACCCAGTGTACTAGGGTCCGCCCCAGTACACCTAACATACACAACGTACGCTCAACGTACTAACTTCCTTGCCGAAATTACCATAATGCCACTATAGGCCATTCTTGCAACCTTCCTCAACCCAAGGGTCAAAACCCAACATTCTTTCATACTTAGGGCTGAAATTGAAAATACCTCATCATCAGGATGTTACAGATTCAAGATGTTAAAAAAACTAGACAAAATTTCGGTCGACTTTCGTGTTCAAGCCAAATTTAGATTCTAGTTTCCACATTGTGGAAAAGGCACTTCCACGCCGTGGAAGCTCAAAATATCCTGAAAATACCCCGTGTTAGTCTAGGAGTTCGTGCACGACAAGGAACCCCACTTCCATGCCGTGGAAAGCCATTTCCACACCGTGGAGACATACAAATCTATAAATTACAGGTTTTGTATACCTAATTCGAATTCCAACTTCCACCAACTTGGGGAACAAGTTATTAGTCGATTTCAAAAGTATTTTAGAGCCTAAGAACGCCATTGAATAGTGAATTTGAAGATCAAGCAAGAATTCCATCAATTTTATCGTTTCGGTTTGTTTTATATCATGTATTTCAATTCCGAATTCGTTAAATTTTGTTTTCTTGTCATGATGCAAGGCTAAAAACATTAGATTTCGTTTAGGGTAAAGAAGTTTTGAACTTATGTGTTTATTCTATGATTTCAGATTTTAATTTAGTTGATTATTTGTTATGCTAGCTTATTAAAGATCCTTATGTGTTAAAGATTCAATCTTTTCTCTTTAGTGTTAAGTATTATTAGGATTAGATGATCATTCTATCTTGATGTGCTTGAATCATATGAATCTATGATCATTAGGTTTGTATGACTGAGACTTTGATCATAAGCCTAAGGTTAAATAGAAAAGTTGGTAACTTTAATGTGTGAGCTTATATGTGATGATCGTTCATGTATATAACTGATATCATGATCATTAATGTCAGTTTATAATTCAGTTCTTGCATAATTCAAACTTAATACTAATTTATTTGATTATTCGTTCACCTGATCACCGAGTCGATAATTTTGTTAAATCAAAGGATTGGTAATATGATCATTATTACTTGTCATAATAGTAATCAGTAATCACTAAAATTATATCCATTGCATTATAATTAGAATCATATATTACAAATTAGTTAACCGACCCTAAACATACGAGATATCTGTATACAAGGGCATATTTTAAGGAAATCATTTAACATGTGTCCCACACATTTTTTATTTACGTATTATTTGTTGTGTTTTATGTACTTTAGTTCCAATGTATTGCTTCTTTCAGACATACTATATTAGTATATTATTTCTTTTATTTTGTATATGTACCATTGAAGACAAATTATTGATAAATTATGTAATAAAAACAAGATAGTACATAAGCATAGTATTTAAAAAAATGAGTTTTTTAGTTGAACCGATCTGTTGACCGGTTTCCAGTTCAACCTTTTCGACCACCGGGTTAATTCAGTTTTAGGAATCTCATGTTTATATTTTTTAATTTTCTATTTATAGAGAAAAACTTATCCAATATCCAATATAAATGAGTTCTTTGTCATTTTGAGGGTTTACAAAGTTGGCCAATATGAGTATTAAAAATCAAGTCAAATGTTATCTAATTACAAAGAATGAATATGAAACTGGTTATCAAATAAAAGATAGAGGATGGTTCCTTTGACATTCTGAAAAAATAGAGATCTTCTGATTCAATCTCAGCCATATATTTATCATTTGACACTCTATTGTTCCAGCGTATCAGTGCGGCATGATAATGTCTAATCATAAATGATTATAATTATATGACGGAGAAGTATAATTATAAATTATTAGACATATATGTTTGTTCACAAAGGGATTAATCATATATGATTATGGTGGTTGGTAGCGGAGGAAGTGATGGTGGTATAGGTTTATGGAGATGACAGTGGTAGGGTCGGTTGGGGGCAGATGTGATGGTGGCGGTTGTGGTGGAAGGGGAAAATGAACGAGTGACGATGCATAATCATTTATGAATATAACTTTTCCGCCGCACTGATACGCTAGAATGTTAGAGCAGCAAATGAGAAATATATATATATATATATATATATATATATATATATATATATATATATATATATATATTCAGAATCTCAATGAAACTTACTTGATACAAGATATCTATAAAATACCTTATTTATATGTATTTTTGTTTAATTTAACATGTTGGAACCAATTTTTAAACACCGGATAAGAATAAGTATGTAATACAAATGATTAATTATTTTTAAGGTTTTATGTAGAAAGTCTCATTATTTGAGGATTTTTGATAAAATCGTAATTTTTTTAAACATAAAAGTGTAATTTTACATGATAATCTTAAAACTAGTTAAAACTAAAATAAAACGTTTAAACTTTACTAAAAATTTCCGAAAAAATAACGAATAAAACTTTTTTTTTTTTTTAATATAACGGAGGTGAAGATAGTTGTGATTTGTGTAGCCCCGTTACTTTTACAATCTATCCTTGCCCTACTCATTATCGCTGTGGTTTGCTCTCTATCTGCCGACTCTAAATCGCGATTTCTTTTTTGTTTATTACATTCCTACTAGTTTCAAACCCTAATTTCCGAAGCCAACAACAGCTTCATCGTCTACATCAGGTAACCCCGTAATATATCATGCCCTAGTTTATTGTTTTTATATCCGAAACGTATGTGGATCTCACTGGAGATGTTTATCTAATCTTTGCTTGCTCATTCTGTCAAATTGATTTCGGTGTCTTGAAATACACTGAACGCCATCGATTGTTGGTTTTTCACCTCACATGAAGGTGTTTTCGTATCACATATATCCTTTTTGGTTAGCGTTCGAATTGGATTTCCAGATTTACTACGAGAGTAATAATCTTGTTGACATTTTTTTTGGGTGTTTTGGGTGAATAGTAGCATGTGAAACAGACTAAAATTTTTCATAATCATATTTAATGCTGTTCTCTTCACATGCTGATGAAGAAACAATCTATTAATCAATCTGTGTTGTTTGTGCACATATAGGTTTATAGTGCGAGATGGCATCCGTCTCCAGTCAGCCTCAGTTCCGATACACACAGACCCCATCCAAGGTTCTCCATTTGAGAAACTTGCCATGGGAGTGCACTGAAGAGGAACTAATTGAGCTTGGGAAGCCTTTTGGTAAAGTTGTGAACACAAAGTGTAATGTTGGAGCAAACAGGAATCAAGCCTTCATTGAATTTGTAAGTGTTAATGGTCAATCGGAATGAATGAAAGGTACATTACTATGATTCTTGAGTCTCCCTAATCCCTTCTTCTGTCATATTCTTTATAGGCTGAACAAAATCAAGCTATAGCAATGATATCATATTATGCTTCATCATCAGAACCAGCTCAGGTGCGAGGGAAAACTGTCTACCTACAGTATTCCAACAGGCAAGAAATTGTGAACAACAAAACCTCTGCAGATGTTGCTGGAAATGTACTTCTGGTAACCATAGAGGGCAATGATGCTCGCCTTGTCAGCATTGATGTCTTACACCTGGTAAGTAATTTCACCTTTTCATGTACAACATGATTAAAGAAGGTAAGTTATACAATAAAAGTAGATAGATGTTGCCAATATATATATATAGCATTTGGTACTTGTTAGGTTGTAGCTTAAGCTTCATTGTTTGACGTCAAATGTAAATGGATCAGCAGGCCCATATCAAGGATTTATCTTCAATGGAAGAAGCTTATTGCTTGGGGAGAAAGAGCGCATGTGTGTTTGTCTCCTTTTCTCCTTTCCCCTTCCTTAACACTGCCTCTTTCTTCCTCCTCATCTCTTCCTATCCCTACACTTATTAGAGTTTAGGATACTCATACTTTTTTATTTTGCTTTTCAGATTTTCCCTATCACATACTCTAAAAATTAATGTTCTTCTAACCATCATTACTTTGTGTATGCATTCTTTACTATATGAACTAGATAAAGTAGACATGAAACTTACCACTATAGAAGTAGTGTCAAGAATTGGGTTTAATGTCTATATATACATAGACACATAGTCTAGGTGTGTGTGTGTTTTTTTGTATGATGCCTTGTGCTAATTTCTTTTAATGTATATGATAGAAGCTTGGGAAGTGGAACCTGTGCTGACAGAAGTCGATTAAAACTATTGATTGGTCACCTTCTCACTAAATTGGAGATGTTCTAAAATGAAGTATTCTAATTCTTGTGCCCTATATGTTTCTTTTTGTTATCCAGACATATTTTTATAAGCTGCCTTACTAACCCTATCAATGTTTTGCAATATTACATTATGCCTTTGTGTGTAGACAAAAAGATTCTTTGGTTAATATATCTGAATTCTTTTGTCTGTCATATTCCACTGTATGTCTTGGATAATTTTACTTATATAGCTTTTTACTCCACAATTTATAAATCTTTCTGTTGTATAGGTGTTTTCTGCGTTTGGTTTTGTGCATAAAATCACAACTTTTGAGAAGACAGCTGGATTTCAGGTTTGTAATTTTCTTTTCTTTTATATGTTTTAAGTATGACATGATAGGGAAGTGGGTTTATATTATATTATATTTTGTTTTCAGGCTCTTGTGCAGTTTACAGATTCAGAAACTGCTACTTCTGCAAAGGATGCTCTTGATGGAAGAAGTATTCCCAGGTAAGATTATATATATATATATATATATATATATATATATATATGGGTTTATGGTTATTGTGTTGTATCAGAGCCCTTTAATGTTTAAATTGACGTTTTTACCCCTATGGATTTGCAGGTATTTGATTCCAGAGCTTGGACCATGTTCTCTTAAGATAACATATTCTGCACATACAGATTTGAGTGTAAAATTCCAGAGTCATCGTAGCAGGTATAAGACAGTAGTATTATATCTTTCCGACTTGAATTCTTTTTATGACAGTTTTGCCCCTAACCTAATATATTTATTTATTAAGGGACTATACAAATCCTATGCTTCCTGTTGCATCTTCAGCAATAGATGCTACTGGTCAGGTAAAGTCATTATTGTTTATAACAACTTGAAGGATTGTTTTGTAAAATTACTCAACTTTTATATTTTTATATTATGCTTACTAGTTTGTTACTTTTGCAGTTCAGTTTAGGTTTAGATGGAAAGAAGATTGAATCAGAGAGTAATGTTCTTCTTGCTTCTATTGAAAACATGCAGTATGCAGTCACCTTGGATGTTTTACACATGGTATATATACAAATATTTGTTTTTTCATATGTTTTTCATTTTTAATCTCACTTTGTTGTAAACAGGTATTTTCTGCTTTTGGGCCTGTTTTAAAGATAGCCATGTTTGACAAAAATGGTGGAGTTCAAGCTCTAATTCAATACCCTGGTGAGAGTTGATTAGTTTTTTTGATAACAAGTGTTGAAAAGCTTATTATATATAATATAATTTTGTAAAATGTTAAAAAAAAAAATTATAAATTTCAGATGTTCAGACAGCTATTGTAGCCAAGGAAGCATTGGAAGGACACTGTATATATGATGGAGGGTTTTGCAAGCTTCACATCTCTTATTCTCGACACACTGATCTAAGCATCAAGGTATTATTGTAAAATGACCATTTTACCCTTACATCCCAAAAAGAACAAATTTCACAATATTTTCATTAAACATTCATCTCTATTTACAGGTGAACAATGACCGCAGTAGAGATTACACAGTGCCAGCTGGCGCACAGATGATGAATTCACAACCGTCCATCTTGGGGCAACAACCACCATCAGGGCCGCCACAATACAGTGGTGGTGGTGCACAGTACATCCCTGCACCAGAAGGGTACGCAGCAGCACCAACAGCATCTCAGTCGTCAGGAGGGTGGGCCCCGGGTGCGCCAGCTGGGCCCCAGTCCATGCCAATGCATATGCAGCAGCAACATCAACATCCGCAACAGCAACAGCAACAGCAACAGCAACAGCAACAGCAGCAGCAGATGCATAATCATCCTTACATGCCACATCATCATCAGCAGCAGCAAGGCATGCCATCTGAAATGGGTCATGGGCCGGGTCACTATAACGGGCAGAATGGGTACCCACCACCACCACGTTATCATCAATAGAATCTTTAATTTCCTTGTTTTTTTTTTTTTAATGTTGTTTTGTGCTGTGAAGATTGTTTTTCTAATTAGTGGAAGCGGTTTGCAACTGGTTTTCAGATTCTTGCATTTTGCCCGCCAAATTATGTGTGAAATTCCGAATTTTGTTGGGAATTCTTCTTGTGTCATTTATTGAAAAATACAAGCTATTTTATGGTATTTTAATTAGAAAAAAAATTAAAAAAATCCTACATTCATTTTCTGACTGTTAAAAGATACACATCAGTATTCTTCTATTCATTTTGTCCAATTAGCCTGTAAAAGTAGGTTGCAAGTCCTATGTAGATTATTTCTTATATTGGCAAAATATTGAAAAATTCATAATATTATGTGATCATATAAAAAAAATTGTACATTAAATTCTTCAATGTTGAAAGACATCAAACTTTTCCAATTAAATTTGTCCAAATAGCCGGTAAATTTTATGTTTTTTTTCAAGCACAAAAATATCGGAGAGTTGACTAGCTCAAGCAAATAAAACTATGAGAAAAATTTTGGTTTACTGTTTTTTGTCTTTTTGGTCCGTTTGAGTCCAAAATAGCAAACTGTCATTTGTGTTTTTGGTCCATAGAATAATTCATACCCACCCCATGTATCCCTCATGTGAGGGTAAAATTGTCTTTTAACTTTTCCCTTCAGGCCCCGTTTGATACGCATCTTTCCAGGTCCAAACAGATCTTTTTGGCTGAATAGACCGGAAAAACTGTTTGATTTGCACAAAAAAATGGGTCTTTCCCCGTAAGATATGTCTTTCCCAGAAAGCCCCAAAATCATATATTTCTGGCTGAATGAGTTGGAAAGACAATTATGCACAAAACCTCACATCTTTCTTTCTTTCTTAGATTATTAATTTTTTTAAATAACTTTTTTAAAATTTATTTTTTATTGAAATATTATTTTTTTAATGTATTATTTTATATTAAGAAATATTATTTTATATATAATATTTATGTATTAATAAATATTATTTTATTGGATTATTAATTTCTTTTAAATAATTCTTTTTTGGATTAATTCTTTTTATTGGATTATTATATATTCATAAATATTATTTATAATATATATAATATTTATATATTAATAAATACTACCTTATTGGATTATTAATTTCTTTTAGTTAATTTTTTAATTCATTTTTATTGGATTAATACTTTTTTTTTGGACAACACCACCACCATCCTAATTTATTTTAAAAAATCTCATCCATCCCACCACTATCGAACATAAACCGGGTCATTTTTCATCATTCAACACAGTCAATCAGATGTACAAACAAACAATATGATTTCTTTCCCAGTTAGAAAACTTTCCCAGACAGCACTTTACCATACAACACTTTCCCAGACAGAAACTATCAAACGGAACCTTAGCTTCATGTCGTCCTTTATAATTTGAACGACTCATTTTATTTCACCAAATGTCTCTTCTTCTATACACTTAAGGTAAAAAAATCAAGCAACATGGTCGTGTGCTTTTGTGGAAGAGTCGTTATTCTGAAAATTTCATGGACATCGCTCAACCCTTGTCGATGTTTTTTCACATGCCCTAAATTGGTAGGTCAATCTCTAAAAACATTGTGGGTTTTTCTTACAAAAAAAATCATACCCGTGTTTTCTTATTTGTGCACTAGAGGTTGTTCTTTTTGGGAATCACATGAGTCAAGGTGTGGATTTCATGGATGGGTTGACCCACCCATGCGTGCAAGGTCAACTTCAATTAACCTTGGTTTGCTGATGAACATTAATAGGATGGAAGCATCGATCCAATTCTTTAATGTTAAAACAATGCAACTAAAGATTTATTTGTTATGCAGTTGGGTTTTGCTTGTTTATTGCATTGGTGTATACATATAGGTGGTAGGGATAAGTTTGGGGTTTTTTTTTTTTTTTGGGAAATTATGAAATTTGATTTTTGTGAATGCGACCTATGATCATATGTAGGTCACGTTAGTTGAAAATATAAGGTTTATAGCAATGCTAAAGGTAATGCAAAATCTGCTTTCTAGATAATGTATTACATATGGTAATGGTACAAGTTTAAATCCAATAACATGCATACGAATATTACTCTTACATACAACATTAATGCTTAAACATGACAAATACTTAACCATAAAAATTGCCACAAAGTGCTACCCCAAAAGAAACCATTATTTTTAAACCACATTTACCACCATGACAAAAGCATAAACATTGTTCAAAGTAACATGTAATAGCCTAAATGAAACCAAACTAAAACATAAAATTAGTTCTCACCTTGGCTATGTTATTGACTACCACATTGACCATGTGTATGATTACCACCTTGACCACCCGCTTCACTACCCCTACCTTGACATCCATATGTCTTGGAGTTATCCCCTTGTTCTTGACAACCTCCATCTCTACTGATTTGTTTTTGAGTCCCATATTGGTTTGATTTTTGAATTTGGGTCAATGTGTTATCCTTACTCTGCTTCCTCTTCTTTTTAGGCCTACCAACTTTCTTGTGATGTGGGGGACGGTTAATTTGGCTAGACACTAACTCATTGGCCACATACTTCTTCCTTTTATGGGTTCAACCTTAAAATCACACGCTTTCTTCCATATATCTAACCACTCCACTTTATTGACCCACTTGTAACAATCTATTGTGTGCTCAGTATTCTTGTTCATTTCGTCTAGAGTTGATATTGCATGTTCACAAGGGATCCCAATAATTTCCCACCTCCTACAACTGCAAAATATGTTTTTTATGTCCACAACATGCAGATCCTACCATGGACCATTGACACATGTTGTTTAGTACCACATATGATATAGATCTACTTTTCTATAAATGGTTGAACATGTAAATATATTGCTAAGCTAAAATATACTAGCATATAGTTATATGGTGTACCTTTGAAGTGACTCATAGCCCAATGATGAGAGTGAATTTGCTTAAGCCAACTACAAGCTTCCTTATCATAATAATTGATCTCTTTCTAGAACTGTTCCAATTCTAGGATAGTGGTTCTTGTAGCATACTTCCATAGGTGTTCCTTGTACTCTTTTCATTTCCATATTTTATTAATATGTATGAGGAAAAACTTGTGTTGAACACAATGAAACATTTGTACTAAGGAATGAATAAGACCCTAAACACATTGACATACTAGTTATTTAATATTTAGCAACAAATCTATAAGTAACTACATTAAGGATGTACTAATCTTTTATATGTCAGTCACAAATGTGAAATTAGAGTGTGCATTCAAGTCCAAGTCATCACCAAGGCATTCCAAAAATCACTTTCTAGGAGGATGTGTTTTCAGTTTTAACAATGGCATATACAAGGGGGTATATGTCATTGTTTGAGTCCATACCTACTACTATAAAAATTTGACCATGGAATGACCCTTTCATAAAGGCACCAACTAAACCTTACAAATATCTAATACATGCCTTAAATTCTTCCTTTAAAGGACACAAACAAACATATATTCTTTTGAAATGTCTAGTAACAGATGTTGGATTGGGTGTTGTATAAAAATCTACCTTAACGATTGTACCTTCATTTGAGGAATGCAACTCTAAAACATAGTTTCTTAACAACTTATATGTAACGCATGCATATTCGGGCTAGACAATTGAAATATAAAAAGCAATAAAAACAAATTTTTAATAGAAGATTATTTAGGATAAATAATCTTAACCAAAGTTATAGTATATGTGACAAGGATTCCGTACATATAAAGAACTCTAAAACCTGACTTCGTATGAAGAAGTTATGCTTCTTCGAAGTTTCACAATTAAACCGGAACGACTCTTCGTATCATAAAAACCGAATTTTAGATAGGTTGCTTATTAGCCTTAACAATCTAAACGAAATTCTTAGTAATCATAAAACCGAGAGCGCACATATAGAGAACGTTCAAATCTGACTTCATATAAGGAAGTTATGATTTTTCAAAGTTTTCAGCGTGACTGTGTTAGCATAGAAACCGAAATTGAAATCAGACGATTGTTAGGAAAAAAAAATATAAATGAGAATTGAAGATCTCGTCATTACCTATCCGTCTATATAAATACAGTCGGGAATGGATATCGTATGAGAAAGTTATGATTTTTATACGTACTTTAACAGTCTAAGTCTGTTAAAAATATAACTTTAATAAGTTTATTCAAAATTAGTTGACGTAGCCTAAATAAAATTTATAGATCTCATTGATAACTACGCATGGATATAAAATACATCGAAAACGGAGCTCTTATGAAGAAGATATGAATTTTTAAAGAAAATAGAATTTTTCGCGCGCAACCGCGCGCACACACAGCAAGCGCAACACGCTTCTAAGCAACCATAAGATTGCGACACGTGTCAGGTCAGAAGAAGCCCACTTCACCTGATCCAACCATTTGTGCGGCGTGCTCCAACCATCCGCGCGACGCGCTCTTCGAGTTTGGATATATATATATATATAATATATATATATATATATATATATATATATATATATATATATATATATATAGTTGCGCGTTTCAGCCTATTTCTCACACACTTTTCTCTGATTCTTTCTGGAATACTTTCTCGCTTTTAGCTCTTTACTCCCGAGTTTCCGACCACTTCGGTGAAGCCCTGCGGTGTCAAATAGTCAGTGAATAGAAGCTCTCGGATTGGAGTTCTGCCTGCATAATTCCCACTTTTCACTAAAAGCTCTATAAGTTAAGCTACACTTATTTTATTCAAGTGTAACTTTTAATTATAGTCATAGTCATTATTATGAACCTATAACTAAGATTTATTAGTGATTCCAAGTCATTATACTGATTGATCTACTTACGTGGATGATGTCTAGGATGGATTTAGTGAGGTGTTTAAAGTGAGATTTCCAAACAGTATATGCTGTATACCAAACAGACCCACCTCCGATATGACTATACCTGGTTGTTCCATACTTGATAGATCTTGATGTAGACATTGGGATTAGTGAGGAATCTAGACTATCATTAGTCATCAGGAATATAAGACTATGACTTAGTGATATGAA